GAACGGCGATAGACAGGAGATTAAAAAGGAAGATCTGTCTGATGGCAGGAAATGGCCAACTCCGAATAAACCTCCATCGCCATCGCCTCCCTCAAAATCATTTTCCACATTTGTGCAGGCGACTCCTCCAGCTCCAGGATCCGCATTACCTGGCTTAGTTGATACAAACCCTGCATCAGTTATTTACGACAGGAAGCCGACTCCTGGAGTGTCGACAATATTGGGCGCTGGCAAAGATTCTCCTCCGGCAAAGTCTGCAGCAGATGGTAAAGCTCCTGCATCAGGTGGTGCAGCGGCCAAGCCGCCAGGTCCACCGCCTCCGCCCAAGGGTCCTCCGCCGGGCACACCGCCACCTCAAACGAAGACGACCTTTGGGCCGCTGGCAGACGCGGATCGTATCTTCACAAATCTGTACGGGCTTCACGACTGGCGTCTGAAGGCAGCCATGAAGCGGGGCGACTGGTACAAAACCAAAGAGATAATCGAAAAAGGTTCGCCCTGGATTATTAACGAGATTAAGACGTCTGGCTTGCGTGGCCGTGGCGGAGCTGGCTTTCCCACTGGCCTCAAGTACTCCTTTATGAACAAACCGCCCGACGGTCGACCCAAGTTTCTGGTCGTCAACGGCGACGAGGGCGAGCCGGGCACTTGCAAGGATCGAGAGATCTTCCGCCACGATCCGCACAAGCTAGTGGAGGGATGTCTGATCGTCAGTCACGCCATGGGCGCCAATGCCGGCTACATCTACGTGCGCGGTGAGTTCTTTAACGAGACCTGCAATCTACAGTACGCCATAGCAGAGGCCTACAAGGCAGGATTCCTGGGTAAGAATGCCTGTGGATCGGGCTTCGACTATGATCTGTACGTGCAGCGCGGCGCTGGGGCCTATGTGTGCGGCGAGGAGACATCGCTCATCGAGTCCTTGGAGGGCAAGGCCGGAAAGCCACGCAGCAAGCCGCCCTTTCCAGCTGACGTCGGTGTCTTTGGCTGCCCCTCGACCGTTACCAATGTGGAGACTGTGGCCGTGGTGCCTTCGATTTGCAGGCGCGGGGGTAAGTGGTTCGCCAGCTTTGGGCGCACTCGCAACTCGGGCACAAAACTGTTCAATATCTCGGGACATGTGGAGCGACCCTGCACAGTGGAGGAGGAAATGTCGATGCCCACACGTGAGCTCATTGAACGACACGCCGGAGGCGTGTGTGGCGGCTGGGATAATTTGCTGGCCATCATACCGGGCGGCTCATCAACACCCTGTATTCCCAAGGAGGACGCATCGAAGTCAATACACGACTATGACGGCCTGATGGCCGTGCGATCTTCCCTGGGCACCGGCGCCATCATTGTGATGGACAAGTCGACGGACATCATCAAGGCAATCGCACGTCTGGCCGCCTTCTACAAGCACGAGAGCTGCGGCCAATGCACGCCCTGCCGTGAGGGCCTGCACTGGGTGCACCTGATCATGCAGCGCTTTGTCACCGGGCAGGCCAAGCCCAGCGAGATCGACATGCTCTGGGAGATAACCAAACAAATCGAGGGCCATACCATATGCGCTCTGGGCGACGGCGCTGCCTGGCCGCCGCAGGGGCTGATTCGTCACTTTCGACCAGTCATCGAGGAGCGCATGCGTAAGCGTGCCGAGAGTGATGCTGCTGCCGCCGCCGCCGCCGCCGCTGCCGCCCCCACCTATAAAAAGCCACCCGCCGTGGGCGCATCGTGCTCCAAATCCTCATAAGTGTTAATGACGTTTTATTTGCAATAAAAAAAAACAACAACCTCTCCTTCGTCGGTTAGCTTCATGCTACAGTGACTTCCTCTTGCAGGCGAGTGAAAGTGCAGCCAGTCGTTCATTTTCCACAAAGTATTCCCACTGAGCCGCAAAATTGTGCCACGTAGCGTTAAGCGAAATGGGGTTGAACGACATGTGGTCGACAGTGGGTCGGGATGCGGTAGTAAATCGAACGGCGTTCATGCTAAGCACTTTCCACTGTGCGGCTTGGCTTCGATGCATTCATTGAGTTGTGATACCCTATGCAATGAGCATACGCTGCCTGATTATATAATGCAACCTTTGAGAGCATATTCAAGTCGACTTTATGCACTGCCATCATTTCCTTTTACTTTTTGCCATTTTGCTTTTGTGTTCTTTGGAGCATAAAATCAATCAACAGCTGTTGCCCGAGTCCACAGTTCAAATTACCCAAACACACACACACACACACACGGACACTCACACACCAGGTGCACAGATACAGGTGCGTGCGCGCGCTAGGCTACAACTACAGGTAGAAGAAATATTAACAGGATAGCAGCAAGCCAGCTGGCATTTCATTTTAATGACCTTGATAGCAACCATATATATATATCTCTCTCTCTATATATATATATATATATATGTTATGCAAATACTCATGTAGAACCATGTATTTATTACCTTCTCTTGGTTCCATGCATAAATCAATGCCAATTCGTTTAGTAATATATGATGGAGTCATAGTGGTTCGTCTACCTCATCATTATTATCCCACTGTGTATAGAGAATTAGGTATCATCCATGGCATTTATTGGCACTTGGCCTCGTTCATGCTTTTGGCTCAGTATTAAAGACAATTATTAAAGCGTCGTTGTGATTTAATTGAAACTTGTTGCCCTCTGCGGTCAACTATTCACAATCATATGAACTAGGCTAATTGAATGAATGAATCGCGCTCAGCCATATGGATTGAAGGGCGGCGTGCCGGGTATGCGAGGATATGGTTGGTTGGTCGGTCGTCTCCAGCGGCGCTCGTCGAACGGTGCAGCCATTGTTGAGGCGACGCAGAGCGTCATTAGTGCCAGAAACAAGCAAGCGATAAAGGTGCCAAAGCGAATGGAAGCCATAACTTCTGGGATGTGTGGCTGCGTCAAAGATGCGGCTGCTTATATATAGGTCAGCCAGTGATTGTTCTCCGGGTAATCTAAACTTGAGTGTATGTTACAGAGTGTGATTACCCTCAGTTGGCATTAAAGATGGGCTGATTACGCTGAGGGGGGATTCACAGGAGAGCTGTGTGCGTTGCTTGATGATTAGAGAAGAGGGCCGCTCTGATAACCTAGGCGAAGCCGTTGATTTCAATTGTGTCACTCGATGTTGTCGCAGTCGATGTTGTTGTTGTTGTTTCAATTTCCGGTTGCTGCTGCTCCATGCAGCCTGGGCTCAGTCGCCTTAGATCGATAGCGATGCGATCAGGAAAGCCAGGATGAGCATGGGGTATATAGCAAGAGGCAAATGGCATCAGCAACCATATCAGCAATAGAAATCGCAGCATTGCTATAGAGAGATTATTGTAATTCACTGTCACGTATGCAGATGGAAACAGAGACTAAACTCCACACTGTTTGCTTATATAGCTTGTTTAATTTGCCACATGCAATGCATTTAAATAAATACAATTTGTTAAATTACTAAAATGACTGCAACTTAATTTGCTCTTTATAGGGTTGCCCGATCCGTTCGCAAAAGTTCAGGTGGATGGCACCGGGCAGGTGTACTCAACAGAGATAAGCAAGTCCTCGCTGGATCCCAAATGGAATGCGCACTACGATCTGTTTCTGGGGCGTGGCGATTCGATAACGATAACCGTTTGGAATCAGCGTAAGATACACAAGGGCAGCGGATTCCTGGGCTGTGTGCGCATTCCCGCCGCGACCATACAGAGTCTAAAGGGCACGGGATGTAAGTAATTTCGCCCATTCCAATGGATAAGAGTTTATAATAAGAAACCTTTACATTTTTGTAGTTCAACGCCTGGATCTTGGTAAGCTGTCCCCGGACGACGATGAGCTGGTGCGCGGGCAGATCATCATCTCGCTGCTTGCCAAAGATGGACCCTGCAGTGGCAACCCGCTGGCCATTGTGGGACCTAGCGGCGATGTGCGTGGTCCGTCAGAGGAGGAATCCCCCTCGGTGGATCATCTGCCGGAGGGCTGGGAGGAGCGCCGCACGGACAACGGACGCATCTACTATGTAAACCATGCGACCAAATCGACGCAATGGGATAGACCCAGAGGGCCGGCAACGCCAGCGGGGACAAAGTCGCCGCAGCAGCGCCATCAACACAACGGCAACAACGTGGACAGGCAGCCGCCGGCAGGTCCAACACGTTCCACGACTTGCACAAATCTGCTCAACGGTCACAGCAATCGTCAGATGTCGCGCGAGATGTCGGACGAACGGCGTCACTCAACGGAAATACTCTCTAGCGTAGGCGTGGGCGGGGCGGGTGGTAAGGAGAACACCAGTCCCAGCTCGGGAACAGCGGGCACGACGACGGCGACGACGACGACAGCAACGGCCACACCGGGTAAAAAGTCAACGGCCAGTCGAGCGGGAAATGCGGCACTGGAGCCATCTACGCCCAACAACAGCAGCAACAGCAACGGCAGCAGCAGCAACAGCAACAATGCGACAACAACAACGACAACGACGGCGACTGGTCGCCTGCATAGCAGCAACAACGACAATCATGTAAAAACGCCAAAGCATCAAACATCGACAGCACTGAACGGGCATGCGCCGGGCGAGGCGACGCCCACATCGCCCACGGGCCAGCAGAACTATGTGAATGGCAACGCGCAGAGTGTCCAGTCGGCGCAGCCTCAGCACTCCAGCAACGGCTGGCAGGCAGAGGATGGCACGACAACGGCGCCGACAACGACAGCCACACCTGCAACAACACCGCCGAGGCAGAGCCCCACCACTGCCACCGTGACATCTTCATCATCAACGCCTGCCACACCAACCACCGCCAACAGCAGCAGCAACGGCAACGGCAATGGCAACGGCAACGGCAATGTGCACAGCCCGAATGCGAACAGTAGTCAGCCAGTTGGCAGCAGAGCGGAGAGGACGGCAGCGACGGCAACGCCGGCGCAGCGTTCGCAACGGCGCAGCTCGCGTCAGGCGGCAGAGGAAGCAGCGGCGCGTCGGCGATCGTCGCGGGGCACGCGAAGTACTGGCGCCGGTGGTGCGGCCATGCCGGGTGGTGTGCGTTACGGCTCTGCAGCTGTAGCGGCGGCCAATCAGGCGGCGCGTCCGTTCCTGGACTTGCCACCGGGCTATGAGATGCGCACCACGCAGCAGGGTCAGGTGTATTTCTATCATATACTCACTGGTGTCTCCACGTGGCATGATCCGCGCATACCACGGGATCTTGACACGCAGCATCTGTCGTTGGACGAGATTGGGTCGCTGCCAAGCGGCTGGGAGCAGCGCAAGACGGCCTCGGGCCGTGTTTACTTTGTAGACCACAATAATCGCACCACCCAGTTCACGGATCCACGGCTGAGCGGCAGCATACTCCAAAGGATATGCAATGGCAGTGGAAATGCGCCAGCAGCGACACCAAATACTGCAGCGGCAGCGCCACCAGCAGCAGCAGCGCCAACACCGACTGCAGCACCACCACCTGCGAACTCGAACGCTGGCAGCACGACAGCCACTCCGCACCGCCGAGCTACGCCGCATATTGTGGTGCCGGATCTGCCGCAGGGTTTGCTTGAGGGCGCCGATCTGCTGCCAAAGTATCGACGCGATTTGGTTGGCAAAATGCGGGCATTGCGTTCGGAACTGCAAACGTTGCAGCCACAGTCGGGCCACTGTCGGCTGGAGGTGTCGCGCAGCGAGATTTTTGAGGAGAGCTACAGACTGATTATGAAGATGCGCGCTAAGGACATGCGCAAACGGCTCATGGTCAAGTTCAAGAACGAGGAGGGCCTGGATTATGGCGGGGTGGCACGCGAATGGCTTCATCTGTTATCCCGCGAAATGCTCAATCCACACTACGGCCTATTCCAGTACAGCCGCGACGATCACTATACGCTGCAAATCAATCCCGATTCAAGCATCAATCCAGATCACTTGTCCTACTTTCACTTCGTTGGTCGCATTCTCGGCATTGCGGTTTTCCATGGCCATTGTCTCGATGGCGGCTTCACCACGCCCTTCTACAAGCAACTGTTGAACAAACCCATCACCCTAGGAGATATTGAGGGTGTGGACCCTGAACTGCATCGCAGTCTCACTTGGATGCTGTAAGTACAAATTAGATGTCTTCTAGTTGGCAACTATTAAATGTTGATTTTATTTCACAGGGAAAGCAATATAAGCGGGATTATCGAGTCCACATTTAGCGTGGAGAACAATAGCTTTGGAGCTCTGGTGGTGCACGAGCTGAAGCCAGGCGGGGCGTCTATTCCGGTTACCGAGGAGAACAAGCGCGAGTATGTAAAGCTTTATGTCAACTATCGCTTTATGCGTGGCATCGAGCAACAGTTTTTGGCACTGCAGAAAGGTCAGTTGATAACTCTTTAAAGAATACTCAATACTTACTCAAACCTGTTTCAAATTGCTTAGGCTTCTGTGAGCTGATACCCAGCCATTTGCTGCGGCCATTTGATGAGCGCGAATTGGAATTGGTTATTGGGGGCATCTCTAGCATCGATGTGAATGACTGGCGCAGTAATACGAGAATGAAACATTGTACCAATGAAACACCACAGGTTCAGTGGTTCTGGCAGGTAAGACACCCATTTGCCTTATCAATCATATTCGTCAAATAACATATCATTTGTTTCAGGTGGTTGAGTCGTACAGCTCAGAGATGCGTGCACGCTTACTGCAATTTGTGACGGGCTCTTCGCGGGTGCCGCTGCAAGGATTTCGTGCGCTGCAAGGCTCTACGGGTGCGGTGGGGCCGCGTCTGTTTACCATACATCTAACGGCAGATGTGCCCACACAGAATCTGCCCAAGGC